CCGGATCAGCCCTGAGCAGATCTTCTTCCTGCAGCAAAACGAAAGAAGATAAATTTATAAAAAAACATATTATTTCGCTCTCATCAAACAAATTCCTCTGAAATTAAAGTACCATTAAGTTTCGCATTAAACAGATCCGTTACACGAGCTCCTCTGCGCCAAAAATATGATTATTACACCCACAACTCATTAAACATGAACTTGAAATATTGTTGTTATTTTTATTGTTGACAAATCAAATTCCTCTGCTCTGCATACTCGTTACTCAAGTAACACCGTACACCCGAATCTGGCGGTGAACGGCCTGTGTGTGCATCGGGCAGAACAAAATGTTTAAATGAATGCACTCTAAAGAATAATTATGAAAAATTATTTAAATAAATCAGATAAATACCTCTCATATGCACGACAATTATTATAAATTCCCATGTGAAACTAAGTGGAAACTCCGTATGTATATAATATTTATGCTATATTATCAACATAATTCAGGTATGATATCCTGATATATAATATTATTAAAATAAGTGCAATAAAAAGAAGAAATTCACCAGCTGCTGATGCCGCTGACGTCATACAAAATGGGAGAACACTCAAAGAAGGGGGCGCCCTTCTTCGTCTGCAACGCAAAACAGCAACTCATATGAAAGCAGTAAAAAGGAAGAACACGAAAAAGAAGAAAAAAAAGAGAAAAAAATGTTTCCTTTGGCATTTGCATGTTTATCGCCACTCTCTTTTGGTGCAGCAAGAAGAAGAAAAAGGCGAAATGGGTTTCTTTTGTTAGATTCATATCAACTACTACTCGATTGTTCCTATGCTATGACTTAGTAGGAATAATAATAATAAAAATTGTGTATTTTTCCAGCTTTTTCCAGCACTAGCGCTTCTGTTTTATGCTGTTTTCTATTGCTTTCCTCTTCTCCTTTCCTTGTGTATTCCGCTGTGCGGCTGCCTGCATTTGGGTTTCTGCTTACCTGCAGCACATATTCGATTGAGTCGAAGTACAGAAGGTCC